TCCTTTCATGTCGTAAGATACAGTTTTAATGAATGGGAAGTCATTGAGGGAATATCACATAGAGAAAATCGCTCTTATAAAGTTAACATGTTAGTGGATCACTCGTGTACGTGCACTTGCAACGTACCGCAATTACAATGGATTCCTTGTTCACATGTTGTCGCGGCTTGTTCTGATCTACAAGGTGGTGCGAGGATTTCACACTATGAGTTCGTCGAGGCTTGGTATTCTACTTACAACTATCGACAAACATACAAAGAGTGTTTTCGTCCACCATATGATAGTCGATATTGGACACAAGACGGGCCACTGATATTGCCTCCTTTGTATAAAAGGTCGGCGGGGCGCCCTCGTTCCGTACGAATTAGAAATTGTATGGATGACGGTCGTGAAGGAGTTAGGAGGAGAAATAAGTGTAGTAGATGCGATCAACCGGGCCATAACAAAAATAATTGTCCAGTTAGGATTAGGCGTTGATGTTGTAATTTGTAGCGGTTTCGATCTGTGTTTTCTTCCGTATGTCATTTGTGATTGTTAAATGTTAGGGGTTTCGTTCTGTGTTTGTTTCCGTGTGTCATTTGTGATTGTAATTTGTATCGTTTCGTACTATGTTATATAAATTTAATGTTTGGTTTCGAGTTATTGCTTTCTTCACGTTGCGCATTCGTTTGTTGTTTATATATAACTAGATGAGTATTTCAATGGCTTACATATTGCACATGATAGGGTGCGTGCTTTTTCCGGATGCGAGCAAGACTCTCGTACATGCACGATGGCTGTCACTGCTGGAGGATTTTGACGTATGCGGCGCACTGTCGTGGGGCAGTGCGGTGTTGGCATACCTGTATCGAGAACTGAGTAGAGTATCCCTGATGCAGAATAAAGAATTCAAGGGATGCTGCACATTGATACAGATTTGGTCATGGGAGCGCATTCATATTGGACGCCCTACTTTACTTGTGCACCGTGACCTACAGGGGCAGTTTCCTTTGGCGTACAGGTATAATTGTACACACAAATTTTATTCGCACTGAATTTGTACTTATATATTCTCTATTCTGCATATAGGTATAACGTGCGGTACGCTAAGTACCGATCAGCGACGCGCCATCGTGAGTTTTACCGAAATGAGCTTGATGGTCTCCAACACGAACAGGTAAATATAAATCTCAAGTCGTTATGAATATTATAGTTTTGTTGTTGATACTGATAAATTTTTTATTTTATTTCAGTTCAAGTGGAGACCCTATACACCGCCGGAGCTGGATATGCATTCTCTTGCACCCATCTGCCGAGATAGTCCCGACTTGTGGAGAGCGAGAGTTCCATTGATTTGTTGGGAGATCGTGGAGATGCATGTCCCTGACCGTGTGCTACGACAGTTTACGCTCTCTCAGCATGTACCAGATCCTGTTGAGCAGATCTCTCGTCGGCGGCGACCTACTTCGCACCATAACGACTGGGCCGTAGTCCGTGCGGCCTACATAGACAGGTGGGCTCACAGGTGGGATTTCATCCAGGATACGAGGCCCACGGCTGTTGACTATACCGCGTATATGGGTTGGTATTGGGGTATCACACGTAGATGGATCACACGTGACCCACAGCCCTTAGCTGGACACATGCCACGGCCACCGACAGACAGTTACATCCCTAGTGGGATGAACGAGAGAGATTACGTAAGTTTCTAAGCTAAATTATAATATTTTTTTCTTGAGTTGGTACTTAATAAATTATTTACCTCACAGGTCCGTGCTTTTGATAGCATTGAGGCTGATATTGATGCGACCGTGCCTGAGATTCAGGATCAGGTGGCGTTAGGGCTCCTCGGCAGGATCAAGAAGACCATAGCACAGGTGTTTCATAAGACTCACGTCGACGAGTTCGCAGGCCGTGAGGACAGGTCTCGATCATTTGGGCAAGCGTACACTCGGCGCCGACGGCCACGTGACGATGACGGCGGCACTTCGCATGCTGATGGAGCCGGCACTTCGCATGCTGATGGAGCCGGAACTTCACATGCTGATGAAGCCGGCACTTCACATGCTGATGGAGCCGGCACTTCGCAGCCTCACACACAGCCGGATACTCAGATAGTCGAGGCTCATCAGCGCGGGGGGCGGGGAAGAGCGAGGGGGAGGGGGAAGAGAGGGAGAGGAAGGAGAGGAGCTATATTGGGTTGTATTTGAACTTATTTTGTTAAAATTTGTAAATTGTATGAATTTTTAAATACTATACTTTTATGGATCAATTATAGCTCGATATATGATCTTTTTGCGTATTGTTTGATTCGTGCGTGTTTAAATAATATATATATTGCAGTAATTATTGTCAACAGGTAAATAGGTGTATATATGAGTTAAATAGGTAGACGTATGCATGCTGTGCATGTTTTTTGCAAAACCTGCAACTTCACGGGAGTTGAACTCCCGTGAAGATGCAGGGTAAAATCTTCCGCGACTCGCTCGCTGGAAAATATGGACTGCAGCTTCACGGGAGTTCAACTCCCGTGAAGCTGCGGGGTAAAATCCTCCGCTGGAAAATATGGACTGCATCTTCACGGGAGTTGAACTCCCGTGAAGTTGCAAGCTAATTTCCGAGGTTATTGGGGGAATTAAACTTCACGGGAGTTCAACTCCCGTGAAGTTTAAAAACGTACTAAACTTCACGGGAGTTGAACTCCCGTGAAGTTTCGTAAAGTTTTTCATCGAAACCGACCTGGTTTCAGCGACAGTGCTGAAACCAGGTCGGTTTCTCTAATTAAATGTGAAAGGGGTTGTTTTTTGCAATAAAAACGTCAAATGGGTTGGTTTCGAAAATTTGTCCAGAAAATGACTTACCACCCACTACTCCCAAAAAATAATTATTCTTAAATTTTCTTTAGAGTCAACGCGTTACTATCATCCAATTACAAAAACCCAATTTTCCAAACTTATCCACATAGAGGTTTGATGGTATTGGAACAAGATGAACAGTGGTGACCGGACGAACTTATAATTAGAATTCCAGCTCACTGTACCCTCGTGGTTTGTGGCGGGTGACTTGACAATTAACCTGTGTTCAAATGTCCGGATTTGAGAAGAGAAAAAGAGAATATAATAAAATAAGTTAGTTTTTAAATTAGTTCCTTAAGTTATTAGTATTTTGACTTAGTCCCTCTAATTGTTAAAATTGCCATTATGAATCCAATTCTTTAGTTATTTAAAAGTTAGTCCCTAATATTACTGAAATTATTACTAGATCCTCGAATATAATTCTCATAAGTCATTTTAAATTAGTCCCTCTGTGTCAAGAGTAGAAGTCGTAATTGAATGTATTATTTACAGTAACTTTTGAGAATTGAGACCTAATACCAATTTTATTGATTTAAAGGATTTATTTTATACCTTAACAATTGAGGGGACATAACAGAAGTTTCAATTAATGATCTAGGAACTAAATCCGAAGTATTAAAGGTAGTAGTGACTAATATCGAAAAACCCTGCAACTGAACAAAAAGAAGCTAGTTTTACAGGCCGGTTCCTTGGGCCTTTATAAGTAACGAACTCCGCATTCGTCCCATTTCTATTCTCAACATTTCAAAAATTATTCAAAAAATAAGAGATCTCTCTTTCTAATTTCGAAATTTTGTTACCTTTTCGTCCGGGGATCGATAGATAAACCCCACAGAACAATCAATGGCCGATCTCTTCTGCTACCTATCTCTATCTTTGACGCCTCATGGATTCCCCAATTTGGATACCAAACCCTAACCCTAAATCTCTGAGGCTTGCTGCAAAGTACCTTAACTAATGAGGAGAAGACCAAATAAGGGAAGCGCTCTTTCGCCATAACCCAGGTTTCTATTATTATTTATTGCTTTTCTTCCCCCCCCATTTGATTTCCGTAATTTATACAATTCTAGATGCTAATTATATCTTATTATTCCTTCATCGATCTCGTTTGCAATTTTATGTTGATCCTGCAGATAATTATGATACTGTTGATTTTTTGCCCAAGATTTTATGCTTATCGTGTCAATTCTGACTTTGAACTTCAACTGAACTATAGCTTGCGATGATAAATTTCCATGTCAGTGCAATGAGTAATTTGAATCCATTGCTATACATTTTTGCCACACATTGAAATCTATGTCTATTGAATATTGAAGTAAAATTTCAGTCATTATAAACTTTTAATTTCACTTAGTAAGTCCATTTGTCAGTTCACGCCAATGTTAAATTTTATGTTTGTAGATATTTAAAGATAAAAATTTTAAGTATGACTAAAACCTTGCTTTAACGGGCTATCTTGCATTCTTGCATAGGTTTAGTTTAGACTTAAACTAACACATAGGTTTACCAACTAAATGAAAATGTTCTGCTCATGCTAAAACATAACTAACTTGATTGTTGTTATCATTAAACCTCATTTTAATTATATGCACTCAGAGGTTTAAACCATGTTAAGAAATTTATAGTGTTCCACTAGGACTGGTTTGGTGCACTGAATCATAAAAGGTGGAAAGCGTAAATTGTGTATAAACCCTTCACTCTTCATTTCTATGAAGTTCAGTCGTTTGTGCCCCCTCCTCATATTATGATCAATCCTAAACTTCTTCGATTAATTTCATCAAAAGTCTTATCTTGTTTCATAGGATGTGCACCATGTTCACAATCCTGTCATTATGAAGTTGCTGGTATTATTTGATTAGGGCATTACTTACATTAGATTATGTGGTATTTTTTTCAATGTGACTAAAACTTTATATAGTCAAGCATCTACTTCTTAAATGCTTGGTATTTTCTGATTACAATCATCCCCTTTCTTTAGCATGTAGGAGTCATGAAGATTATTCAACAGTATCAGCTAAAATATTGTTCCAGAGAATCTTATATTGTCAATATACTGATCCTAATGATGACAGTATGAAAAGTAGAGTTCTTATTATTTGGATTGAGTATCAACTAAGTAGCATGGACATGTAACTGATTGGGTACAACATGGCTACGGACACGGAACATGACATCATGATATTAGAATATATACAATATGAGGGTAATGGATATATCTTTGAAGCATGGGTTGCTAGGTGTGAAGCCATTGTGTTATAGGTTAGATGTTGCGAATGAATCTGGTCTATCCTAATTTATCTAATTTTTTTTATCTTAGATTTCTTTATTTTAAAAAACCACTGTTCATCTAATACTATTCATGGGTGGTTGTTCACCCAGTGTTGTTCACACCAGAGTTGCAGGCTTCTCTGATGCAGATTGGGCTGGATGTCCTTTTGATGGGAGATCAACTACCGGATATTATGTCTTTCTCGGAGGAAATCTAGTGTCATGGAAAAGTAAGAAACAAAGTGTTGTATCTCGATCCAGTGCAGAATCAGAATACAGAGCAATGACAAATGTGATACTAGAGATGGGTTGGATCAGAGACCTATTGACAGAAAATGGTCTCCCTCCAAAATGTCCCATGGATCTATATGACGATAATAAAGCAACAATTCACATTGCTGAGAATCCCGTGTTTCATGAAAGAACCAAACACATTGAAGTCGATTGTCATGTAGTCCGCAATAAGCTTGATGATAAAGTCATCATGACAAAACATGTATCGACAGTAGATCAGTTGGCAGACATTATTACAAAACCACTTGGTCGAACACGGGTTGACTTTATTTGTGAGAAACTGGGCATGCATGATATTTATACTCCAGCTTGAGGGGGAGTGTTAGAAGAAGAGAGTATTAGTTTAGTCCCACATTGCTTGTGAGACTAAGTTGTAACTAATCCATCTCTATAAATAAAGTATAGAGTGAGGGGATAACTCTCCAATAATCTCTTTTCTCTCCAAACATTAACAATGTTTGAATTTACGTTTTCTTGAAACGTACTATTCTAAGAATGATCTATATAATGAGTTCATCCAAACTTCAGCTGAGAGGTTATGGTCACTGTATATATCAATCAGAGTTATCAATGCATATCAAGCAACCCTAACAAATCAAATTCAAAGTTCTATTTAACTCGGTCAATAGAATGCAAGAAACATAGCTACTAAAAGTAACAAAATGAAGGCATAAAAGGAAGAATAGTGATATTGGCCTAACACCAGCCTATGATAACACTCCCTATCCTTTCTCCGCCTTGACAAGTTGTGCACTCTAAACACTTGTAGACTCTGAAAAAAGAATTTGTGTCTTAGTCTAAACTAAAATCCAATATTTAGTTAAAAATGTTGAGAGACTGAATCGATTAATAACTTCTAGTTTTATGCGATTATTTAAAGAGTATTTACACATTCATGATGACATTGTATTTCATTATAATCTTTCGCTTAATTAGTTAGGCCAAATATCATGCAATCATTAAATAAGTATGTGGTTGAGTTTAAGCTGTGTGGAGGGTGGAGAGTTTTCCCTTTGTAAAAATGAAGCTGTGTGAATGGAGAATAAATTACCTCTCATATCTCTCTCTACAACTATATTTAGTTTCCCCCCTTCACTTTTCCCATCTATAATATGACTGAAGCGTGGAGGAGAAAAAACAGGGAAGAAAGGAAGAAGGGAAAATGACTATAAAATTAGGGAAGGAAAGAAGATGCTAAGTGACTACAAGATTTCTTCAAGGTATTGACTTATTATCCTTTTTTCCCCCACAAATTTCTAAACTGCGGGAATTTGTAAGTTAGGGTTAAAAAGAAAGTTGGGAATGAAGCATAGAAATCAAGAAGCCTATGCCTTTTATGACCTTCTTTAAGTGATATGTTAAGCTAATTATGAATAATGTTTCTTCTAACATTATCAAATCGAAGCTTCTAAGTGGTATATCTACTTACACATGAGCTTCATGGGTTTATAAGCTTGGAAATTTGATGAGAAGCCAAGAAGCCTATACAAGAAATTTTCTTCATTCTTGTGAGCACATGAAATTGTTTGAAGTTCTACAACACTATCTTATGAAAGTGATTGCTTTAATCCAACTAAAAGTTTATTCTTCATGAACTAGTATACACTGTAACGCACATGCATGCATGTCAATGTGTGTGAATTCAGGCATGTGCATGTGTTTATGTTGAAGCATATGTGCACATATGTGTATCAATTAGCATGGGTGGAACCAGATCTCTTCCGGGGTGGCAAGTGGCTGACCCTCATTAATGATTCTTCACAATATATTGAGTAATATGTTATGTTTTTCAGCTACCAAAGGGAGAAGACCAGAATTGTGCCAATGATCAAATTTTGAATGTAACTGGAATTTTTTATCTGTTGCATTCTGTTCCAACATTCAATCTCAGTAAGTTATTTCTTACTTGCATTGAGAGGAAGCTATGGCTGTACCTTCCTGTGACTGAAATATCATATTTACTAGTTTTTGTTTGTAAATAAGATTACTTCCTTCCCAACTAATTATCATCTTTTATACCTCATACATTATGCTGCCTACCTGCTTAAAAACCCGGCTCAATCTATTAGCATGTTACATGGTTGTCCGCACATTCACACATACAGCTCATGCAAACACATACAAGCACATGTGTATTTGCATACATGATACGTCTGTGTAAGTGTATCATGTATCTTCTCTTCCCAGAAAAGGCTTAAATTTCTATGCAAAGATGAGCCGTGTTTCTTAATGGATAGATCAATTGGTAGCCAGCCATACTGTCTTAACTTTCCTCTTTGGGACGTCTTAATTTGTGAACTTAGCTGGTGATTTTTTTTAATGCATTGATTATGCTATCTTCTGAAAGACTTTTTTGCTCTGTCATCGTGCATATGAATCTCTTTTGTTAACTATTAAACATCTTATATTTGTGTGCATACTCTTACCAGCTATGTTACAACTTACATGTGCACGGACATGCTAGCATGCATATGATATTGCACAGGAGAAAGTATTCAGTGGGGACTGTCCATGGCATTTAATGTGCACCAATTAGCTGTTAACCATTGGGTTTGTGCACAAATATTGAGGTCCAATGATCCAATGATTGACAACTCTTTGGTGGACATTAAATGCCATGAACCAGGGATCATCAATACTTTCTCATTACACGGCACATAAGTACACATAAAGATATAAGTACACACATATAAGAAGTATTGCATCCAATTTGCATTTCTGACACATGTATTGAGTGTGTCGAACCTGCCATGCTTCATTATTTGTGTCTATAGTACATGGCTCTACTAGTTCTAAACAGCACCTGAAAGTTGGTATCTTGTTTATGTACTTCCTATTAGTTCCAAAACAATGCTTGCAATATACCTTTAATCAGTAAAAACGCCAACAGAAAGATGATTCAGATGGATCGATCAAAACCAACTAATCATTCAATGGAGCTGTGATGCCTCTTATTCTTATCTTTGGTAACATATTTCAAAAGAACAACTAACCATGTTCATAGTTTTAATCAATATTGTTGAAATATATATTTTCTTGGATCAATCTCGAGTGCTATATGTCTCTTCTTTATATATTCAAGGTACCTGATTGATTGATCTGTCTTTAGCATGGTGTGGCTCTTAGCTTTGTCCATCATTGTGCTTTATCCCTCGATTGCTCCTTAGGTATCAGTGCAAGTGCTCGAACAAGCCTTCACTTCTGACCACTGCAAAAGAGATTAATTACTTTTGTGTATTGTTTGGAGAGATTTTCAGCTTTGCCAGTCCTAATAGTAAGTAGCTTTACCATTTTCTTTTTTAAACATGACATATTTGTGGCTATGCAAAATTTTCTGTCTGTTGATGCTTTTGCCAGTGTTTGAGACTATATGTACATATGCAAATCACAACCTATTGGAGGATTCTGTCATTGATATCTCCACGCATTGACTAATTAGTAAGCTGAAAATTGCTTCTGTTTAATTTCTAGTGCATGCCTTCTAATTTTTAAACCGATTCAATTTGATAGTAGATCATCCTAAACCAAAGGCTATCTTGATGCTACAAGCAATCAAGCATGTATGATTTGACTTAAGATCCACAAAAAAAAAATGTTGAAACGAATCGCCTGTTGAAGCTTTTGCTTTCCGAAATCTTTAAATGTTTTAACAAGCCATGCAAAGCTTGTGCTTGCCTTAACACCAAAATGCCATTTCGATTAAAATGACACCAAGCTGTGTGTGTTGCAAAATGATATAGTGCAATCTAAGCTGAATGTGTGTCTGTGGCGGCTACAGGTCTTTCATGAGGTTTATCTCTCTAGTGAAAATAATAACTGTTCTTGTTCCTGACCATCTTAGTTAACCAGTGTTGCTGCTCATAGCTGCGGCTCCCTTTTTTGGATCTGTTCTACGAGTGTAGATTCAAGCCAAGTCCAGTATTGATCAAGATGAAGAGAGAAGAAAAACAGGATAAATCAGCACTAGGATAATAGTAAGAATAGTTTATTACATATTCTCATTTCATCAGCTTAAGATCGCTCATAATTTGAGGGGAAAGAGGGCTTTAGTTGAGTAGAATGTTGAGAAAAATTACATGTAAATGTCTTGATGCCAAGAGGTATACAAGAAAAACACAAAGTTACACTCTTCGACCAAAATATGTACGCCAACTTAGGAAGTATGGCTGCAAGAAGGATGTTTGCAGCTTGAAAAACTGACTCGTCCATTAAAGATATGTTGGATTCTCTCTTTCCAAATTAACCCAAATGCAGCCATGATTGCATATTTGCATTTCTTTGGTCATGACTGGTGTCGGATATTCTGCTGTCAATGCCAAAATCCAAAATCATGTTAAGCCGATTCAAATTGACCAACTATTGCCCCATACTTTTCTAATAAAGCAACACACCAAAAATAGATGTTGAGATTACTCTTGATGGGAACAAAGTACACATCCAGTACCTATACACCATGTTTAACCATGTTCACTTTTGTAAGAATTTGATCAAGAAAAACCAAGCACACATACTACACTTTACAGGAACTAGAGAGAGCCGTAGAATTTTAAAGTGATACCATGGTGGGTGATGGTACAATACTAGGTATGTAGATAACCTTCTTTTAGTTAAATGAAGAAAATAGAAAAAATAGTTTTGTAACTTATGTAGAGTAACCCTTGAATTCGCTAAGGTTATTATGTATCTTCTAATTAAAAATAAATTGGAATATGAGTTATAAAATTCAAAAGTTGAAATCGTATAAAACTAACCCAAATCTCGCAAGTTTCATTCCAGAAAAAGAAATTATGGAACAAAGAAAGGAAGAGGAAGTAGAGCTTTTACAAGGTTAGTGTGGTGATTAATCTTCTAACTTTTAATTATGTTAAATTTGGTGTAGATTCATGAAAAAGTTACTTTTTTCCGGCCACCGGTGTCATCTTTGGTAACTTCCGGTGATCTGTGACCATCCTGTTGTCGTGGGTTTTGCGGGTGGTGACCTCCCCAAGCTAAGTCTTTTCAAGAACTTACTGTTAGACCCTAGAGGGAGGGGGGGATTAGGGTCTTATGCTAATCTAATCCCGATTTTATGCCAATTAAAATTATGTTGATAAATTTGTTCTTGCAAGAGATATATGAGATAGATTTGAATAAGAAGAGAAGTGTAAGCACAAATTAAATGTACGCTAAGCAAGCACAAACACACGATATGTTTACGAGGTTCGGTCCCCACGACCAACGTCCCCGCTCCTCACCTCGAGGAGATCTCCACTAACACAACTCGGTTTGGAAGCCGGAACTTCTACACACTCGGTTTATAAGTTTACCGAAAACTCTCACAAACAAACACTATGCAAACACACTATACACACTAAGTGTAGGATTCTAGCCCGTGTCCTCCTCCTTAAGTGCTCGGATACAACCTCTCCCTAGGTTTGTCAACCGACGCAACTCCTATTGGATTCGA